AGAAATTTTTGGTTTTTTTTTTTTTTTTTTTTTTTTTTTTGGTAAGCATACGTTACTTTAGAAGTTAGAATTAGTCCATATGACCAAAATTTCTGAGGGGCATCACATTGGATACAAACAAACAAAATCTCGATTTATTGAATTACGTTGAGAAATAAAAATTTATAAAGTATATATAATTTCCATTAATATAAATCTTTTAAAAGATGATAAAAATAAAATTATAAGATTGTAGAAATATGTGTGTAAATTTCATTGCACAACACATCCGGATGACATATAAAGTTAATGAAGTACTTCTTATTTAAATCCTTCCCTGCAATCTCTATAGCTTGTTGATCGGTCAATTATTAATCTCATTATTTTTATCAATTTTTAATTTTATTTCATTTATTTTAAAATAGAAATATTTAATTTTTTAATTTTATAAAAATTAAATTTTAGTTATATGATAAAATTGATATATTAATCATTAAGTGATATTTAATAATATGATATTTTAAAATAAAATAAAAAACTAAAATTTAATTATCTCTTGTATGTTAATTTTTATTTATATACATATAATATTATTAAACATTATGTCACTTAAGTTGTGATAGAATATCGAATAATATCAAAACTTAATGATCAATAGACATTAAATTGACGGTAAAGCAATTTTGTAATTTTAAAAAAATAAATTAAATATTTTTATTTTTAAATAAAAGATCAAAATTACATATCAACAAAAAAAATATGGAGACAAAAGAGCAATTTAACCTAAATGAAGATATCCATGGAAAACTAAAGATTAATGTCAAAGTACTAAAATAGTTAAAACAGTTTTTAAATATAAAATATGACAAGAAATATTAATATAAAAATAATATAAACTTATTTAATAAATTTTTTATTATATTATTTATACTCATAGAAACATAATTGTTGAAAAGTTTAAATAGTAAAATATACTCGACAATGAATTTTTTTTTTGAAAATATTGTTGAAAAAATAGTGTGGAAAATGTGTAAGTGTGAAATTCATAGTATAGAAAGAGT